AAGGGCTCGTATGACACAGTCATAACTTTCTTGTTATGAACAGGCTCTTCTATTAGTAATTGGCTTAGATATGCGTACTCTGGTACAGATTCAAGGGTTTGGTTTGCCCATGGTGGACTCGTGAACATTACTAGCTAATTTTACCGGACGAGGTGGGAAAATCATTTTCAATTTCGGTATTTTTTCCCATGATTGAGGGCTGACCATGCACCATCCATGTAATGGATGTAATGGCTATTGCACGCCCCTAATACAGGGAAGAAGATATTGTTTAAAAGAATGCGTTGCTAGGCTAGTTGGTTCACGATCCTAAAACTTGTCTCAGTTCGCATCTTAGGGCGAATCGCTTCAAAAGCAGATGGACACGGATGGTAGCATACCGGCTTTGGATTCATGTCACCGCTATACTTCTCTCTTCAAGCCCTAACACATGAAAAAATAGAACAAAGAAACAAGCATATGGGTGCGAACTTCACTGGTGCCAGAGTGGAGAAATAAGTGGGCTTAAATGTCGTACAGTAACGTCGCCGCAAGAATACAGCCACCGAGGACTGGGATCTAGTGCTCGACATTCTGCCGAGGAAAAAAACGATATTTATAAGCACTAACTTAATAGCCTCAAAACACTCGACCAAGGAGTTTGAATCATCCCGTTATTTACACAACACATTGCTTCATCCTCTTTTGCGCGCCTTCGCAAGTATGCTAAGCTCAGTCGAAGGAATAGCCTAATGCACGCGCCTTCATGAAAAGAAAGCCAGCGTGTGGCCTTAGGTCGCCGAAACCACTTTTGTCGTCTCCATCGGTGATTTCGCGAGCACATCATAAATAGCATCGCGCTGGTCCAGTTTCAGAGCAACAGTGGCCACGAGACTTCCTGGCCTTGTTGTTCAAAGAGAAACGACCAGTGACCATTAAAAAGTAACAGCGTCCACCACTGTTGTACTAACCGTCCGTGACTGGGATATGCGAGGGTCAACGCTTTATGACTCACTCATTTATTCCTCAGCCGGTTCGCAAGGCTTTCTGCGCCTATGCTGCCATGCCACTAGGCTTCAGCCATGATTTGTGTACGTTTTGGAACGTTTCTTTACCGAGCGCTGTCGACATTAATTTGCTAGATACGCTCCCGGCTATTGTTGGCTCATTGATATACTGCGACTTTTCTGAAGAAGCACACTTCGCCAGTTTCTTATATATCAAACTGAAGTTTAGCATTCTGCGGTAAAAACAAGCTACCACACAAAGTTGACAAGCCATTTCGTTGCGAGGGTTGAGGATTGCGGTTTCGAACTTTTACTGGAAATGCATGGAAGCGAGAAGGCGCATCAATTTGCCACATATCTTAAGCAGTGGAATGTAATTTACTCTTAAAAAATATATGCTCATATTTGATACCATATCCCAAATGAATGCGAAGACATCGGATGAAATCAGGCGGAAAAGTACTGCTCTATTATAAAAAAAAAGAACACCACTAGTTTTCAAGGCATACATTGCCGACGCTTTTTGCAACTAATCGTAGCACAAGACTTCTAATTCTATTCCGCATGTAGTATGTGCAATCTATTCTCTCTATAACAAGGAGAGGTGTCGTTTTGTGGGACTACAATCATGTTGTTAATGACGCCGAGTTGGAAGCGAGAGTAGCCAATATTTTAATGGGGACTCGAACGCAGCCAGCTAGTCTCGTTACAATCAATTGTTCTCGCTGGCGTAAGACCACCCTGGGCACTACATGCGGAGTGTAACCTCGTTTGAAAGTGAAGTTCATCCACTGCTCTGTGATGGGTGGGAATTATTATGTCCAAACAGAGCTCGTAATGTACGTTGAATGCTTTTTTTTTTCATTTGGAAGCACAAACGGTCATGATGTGGGAAAGCAGAATCGTGAGCGCAACTGAGCCCCGCCGTGGTTGTGTAGTGTCTAAGGTACTCGGCTGCTGACTCGCAGGTCGTGGGATCGAAACCTGGCTGGGGCGGCTGCATTTTTTATGGAGGTGAAAATGCTGTAGGCCCATGTGCTAAGACTTGCATGTGCGTTAAAGAACCCCAGGTGGTCGAAATTTACGAAGCCCTTTACTACGGCATCTTTGATAATCTTATGGTGGTTTTGGAACGTTAAACCCCACATATTAATCAAATCAGAGTAACTGACAGCACAACAGAGCTGGATAAGATCAAAAAGAAAAAAAAAAGGTCACAGCACTGAACTCAGAGCTGAATTTATTTTTCTAAAAAAAAATACAACGTGCCTTGACTACAGGCCCTTCAAGAAGACATCATATCAGCGAATTTGTTTAAGAAATGTTTTTACACACACCCCTCTGGGGTTAACTTTTAATCGCTGTTTTCATCACGTGTTCTCTACATATCGAAGCGGCCCACGCAAAACACAGTAGATACGAAGCCAGGCAACGCAATGAATGAGTCACCAAAACTGTGTACATGTCTGCGAAGCAACAGCAATCATATCGTGACTAACCAATAACTGCACCCTTCATAGAAGGGTGACTGATGAATGACTTATACACTTGTTGTTGGACCTAACAAAACAGTTGTTTGGCACGCATGCGTACAGTTTTCGTGATCCATTCATAGTGTCGGGCTTTCATTGATCGCCTTAGCGGTGTCACTAAGCTACCCAACAGCCGGTTGCGATGCTGTTGTATACGAAGTTTAGTATACAAAGTTTCAGAACCCCGTCGCGGGGGTCTCCTGGCTAAGGTACTCGTCTGCTGACCCGCAAGTCGCGGGATTGAATCCCGGCTGCGGCGGCTGCATTACTGATGAAGGCAGAAACGTTGTAGGCCCGTGTGCTCAGATTTGGGTGCACGTTAAAGAACGCCATGTGGTCGAGATTTCCGGAGCCCTCCACTGCGACGTCTCTCATAATCATATGGTGATTTGGGGGCATTCAACCCCACATATCAATCGACAATATCCCCTCGAGGACCGTGTGTTCCAGCACTACATTTACCATCCCACCGGCAACAAGTGGGTGCCAGTTGTTCCTCGCTGCCTTCGTCTTCAAGTTTTGGAAGCATTTTATGATGATATTGCTGCCGATCATCTATAGTCTTCCACAATGCGTATACGACCGCATCAAGACCCGCTGCTTCTGCATTGGCTTGTCCACAACGGTAGCCAAATACGCAAGCTCGTGCGCATCGTGTCAGCACCGTAAGCGATCCACATCCCCACCCTCTGGTTTCTTCAGCCTTTTTCCTGTCCGATTACATGTTTTAAATTTGTCGGAAGGGACGTGTGGTCCTTTGCTGCGGACATCTTCCAGTCATCGTTTGATTGGGACTGCAGTCGACCATCTAACAAGGTACGCAGAGACTTCGTCTCTTCGTTCTGCTATCGCCACAGAAGTAACCGACTTTTTCTTGTACTCTATCGTCTTGCTACATGAAGCCACTCACGTTCTTTTGAGTAACCGCGGCAAAGCCTTCGTTTCCAAGGTCCTTGAGGATGTCCTGCAGGCATGTGATACAACGCATAAAACCACTTCTACATACCATCCGCAGACGAATGGCCTTACTGAGTGCTTCTTTCACCAAACACTGCCTGACATGATATCCATGCACTTACGTCCTGACCAGAAAAACTGGGATATCATTTTATCGTTTGTCATTTTTGCCTGAAATACCACAATACAACAATATACTGGCTACAGCCATTTATTCCTCGTGTATGGACGATCTGTCTCCTCCGTCTTCGACAAAGCATTCAAGCCCTGCTCCTGCTCCGAGCTGCACGTCGTGCTCAGAAGAGTTCGCAGCTGGAGTCACGCACTGCCATGAAATCACTCACAAAAACACGGTAGCAACCCTAAAGAAGAAAAAAACGTCGCTGTGATAGCAAACGACGTGACGTGGCCTTTAATCCCAGCGACCAGCGATAAGGTTTTACTATGGACCCCAGTTCAAGCGTCAGGGCTTTGCGAGAAATTTCTTCACCGGTATGCTGGCCCATTCATTGTTGTACGACAGACATCCCCAGTTAATTATCTCGTCACTTGTCAATCCGCTTCAGTCCGTCACTGACCACGGAAATCGTTCACATCTCGTGCATGAAGCCTTTGCCTTTTGTTACTCGTTCAGCCGATCTCTGAGTGGCAGCCACTTGTCAATATATATATATATATATATATATATATATATATATATATATATATATATATATATATATATATTTTCTCTTGTTTCCTTTTTTGAGGCTTTTTTCGCCTGTGCTGTGATGCAGGTTCGACCAGTCGTGAGCGCTCGATTATTAGAAACGATACATATATATATATATATATATATATATATATTCCCAATAATAAATTTATGTTGAGCTGTTGGTTATTCCGCAACAATATTCATGTAGAGGCAGGGCAACTATGCAAGATAATTACACTTAATTTCAGTTCAAAGATGTCCAGCGTCTTCGATTCTGCTCTTAAATCTCAGAAGAGCCTCACTACGCGCACTTCAAGATGAGATCTTATCAGTGAATTCGTTTAAGCGATATTTGCACGCACCCTTCAGCGGTTACCTTTTTGTCGCTGTTCATTGCGTGTTCTTTACATATCTAAGCGTCCCTTGCAAAACACCGTATATAGATACGACGTCGGGCAAAGCAACTTGAAAGCATATCAAAAGTGCTGTATGATAACTACTTCTTCCCAGGTTACACCTATTGGTTAGGTGCCCCTATATGCCATAAAAGGTCGTGACATGATTTTTCATTATACGTCTACCTTCAGAAAACTGGTGGTCGTGCGCAGACATATCATCGAGCTGTCAAAAATCTTGGGATTAGACCATTGGCAAGGCCATGAAGCGATACATTGCTAGTGTACTCATCGGTGTATTCTGTACTGACTGTATGCTGCTACCCTTCACGTGTATATAAGGGCAAAGCACACATCTACGACGGGCGCAGGCGGCACACTAGCCGGGCGTAGTTTGAAGCAACATGCGCCCGGCAAAGCGCGGAGCAAGGCTAACCTGGGTCTCCGCACATTGCAATGGTAGAAATAGCTGACGACGGCCGTCTTGTCCTGCACAATTTTGCGGAACATGTTGGTTTCGTGAGCCAGCACGATGCCGAGAAATGTAGGCCCTGCGCAAAACAAAGAGATAAACGGCAGTTGTAGTGTGACGCCCTTACCCGCTTAATACTACGCATTTCGGGAGAACACGAAGCCCTGAATGTAACGATCAATTGTGAGAAACGCACAAGTCACGCGTCGTGAACCACGTGCCCAATAAATAACTCTCAGTGGCGTACTTAATTGAGGATGAGCGAACGCGACAGGGGCACTTAGGCAATTTTCCTGCAATGTGTGCGTGCAATTTTGCTCTTTCGAGGACAGCGTACGTGCCTATTTAGTACGAAGAAGAAATAATTATCGCCAGAAGAGACCACCAGACATGAAGGAAGCAAGATTGCAGTGATCACACTGCTGCATAGTGCTTTTGTTGGTCACGCGCAGCTGTTTACAGGAAATTGATCACTACTCGTATAATACAGAAGTCAACACATGACAAAGATCAAGGTACATTTCATGGCCTATAAGTAAACAACCATGAACGATGCTCGTTTCTCTTGCGAAGTCAGCGAGGCAGAAAGACGCAGCGATGCTACGGCCAAAGAATGTACATTTTGTGACCAGATTATTGCCTATTATAGTATCTGAAAATGCTTTTTTATTGTTTAATACACAAACTACAAAACGTTCATTAAAAATTCCGAGAGACTTTTTTGTGTTTATTTACTTAAGCTTGCTTTGAAAATTTGTTTTTCTTTATCCGTAGAAACCCAGGTGCGACTACAATTCACACCGTGGGACTTCCCTTGAAGCGAGGGTCTTATTCCAGTCTCTAAGCTATAGCCGCGCTAGTATGAAGGATCCTTCACAGTTCCTCTCAGATGATAAAAATGATGAAATGCTGCCGTATACCGAAAACGCAGGGCAATAGTCTGGTATCCGTATGTGTCACGGACGGTCATTCACGCAACCCGACGTCACGCCCAGTTAGCTGGCGCCGCGCTTCTCCTTGTGACCGCGAGACCGCTTGGATGTCAGAGGAGTTTCTTTTCGAGCCGCCAAGGCCTGGCGGGGGTGCTCGGCTCGGACATCAGACGCTGAGGATTCACCCTTCGTGTTTGTGGCAACAAGGGGCAGCCGCCGAATTCTCCGAACTAAGATGCGGGCCCCTTTCCACGGTAAAAGTATATATATATATATATATATATATATATATATATATATATATATATATATATATATATATATATATATATATATATATATATAGTGATTGCAAAGCAAAAATGACACATATTTCTGTCTCCCAGGTTGGGTGCACGGGTCAGTGCCTGTGGAAAGGGGGAGTGGGAAGAAAGATGATAGGGTAGAAGGAGAGTTCAGCAGCAGATTGTCATTGTCTCGGGTCAGGTGGTGTGGTTTCAGGAGGTTTGGCAGTTTGCGAGACTAACAAGAACTTGAGGTCAGCCGCGTCGGCGAACTCCAGGAACGCGTGTAGGGCTAGACCCTGGAATCGCACAGGAACAGAAGGTCATCTATGATGGTGTGAGGCAGACCCAGCATGCGTATGACCTCTTCGTGGTGTCATCTTGGGCCGTCAGTGGCTGGATAGAAGGAAAGGATGTGTTCTAAGGTCTCTGATCCGCATCTGCTGCAGTCGGGAGAGAATAGGCGACTCGAGTATGTATTGCGCACAGCAGGCCACACGCATGCGCTCCGGAGCCGTAACCGTAGACTGAGCTCTTGTTTCTGAAATCCCGGCTTCGGAAGTGGCCGAAGAGGTGGATCATTCACCACTCGTTGGTCAGGGTGAGCGGCCTTGAGTAGGTGCATGAGTCGTTGCCGTGTGGAGCTCCTGTTGCTACAGCTGTTGTGACAGGCACATCGATCTGGTGTTCGTCTTTGCGGTGGCGTCCGCACTCTTGTTACCGGCTATTCTAGTGTGGGAGAGGAGCTAAGGCATCGATAGTGAGACGCCACAGTCTTTTAGGGCCCGCAATCTCGCAAGGAGCAGGATAACTGTGACCCCGGCTTGATTAGGTTGCAGCAGTGCTCGAAGTGCCACCCTTGAGTCTTTGATGATGGCCATGGGCTGCCGAGGGAGGTTGGCTGCCAGGTGGTCTGCTGTATGGTGGAGCCCCGTTAGTTCAGCTGCTGTAGAGTTCGTAGGAAATAGGCGGTGACACTGAATTTTTACCCCGGCTCCGGGACTGTACAGGTAGCTGCAGCAGAGGGGCGGCTTTGGTAGAAGGGGCAGTCTGCGTATAGCAGCAAGTGGCCTTTCAGTTGTTCGTGGATCTTATATACTGTACCGCAACCTGCGGGAGTTGGCTAGCTGGTGTACATTTTTTCGTCAGCTTCCCCAGGCGGAGATGTATGTTTGGTGGCCGTCGATGTAGTGGTGGAGGCTGGACTGAGGTTGTTGACAGTAGGACTAGTTCCTCGAAGAGCACCCCCATGCTTCCCATTCAGGAGTTTGGTGAGGCCTTGTTGCGCTGAAGTATTGCCTTGCCATCTGATGTTCGATGTAGCCGGTCAACATGCAGGATAGCCTGGCGCAGCATTAGGAGGAGCAACAGTGAGACCTGGGCTTCCGCTATTGTGGCCGCTACTGGAGAGCAGCGTGGAAGACTCAGAAACGTCTTGATGACCATGTGGTGCTGTTTTTCCAGCACGTCTTTGCGGCACCACGTAAGCTGAACCAGGAGGAGGGCATACAGGGTTGCTGATGTGGCAACACTATTTTACATCTGTAAGGCCATGTATACAAGTAACGCCCGCGAGCTGTAAGCGATCACCTCACGTCCTTGTCATCTTCACGCAGTAGATAACATGCCCCGCTTTTGCAAATGGACATGGTTGGAGGAAATTTCTAGGGGGGAGGGGAGTTTTAAACAACGTCACGCGCATAAATTGACCCCTACGATTGTCTTCTTTTCACCCAAGAAGAGAATGAGGGAACACAAAAGGGAATGAAGCGTAGGATATCGCCCTGCTAATCAGTGTAGTTGCTTGTACAGCATAGTGTAGAAGTATATCATCGAGTGCATTAAGTGAAGAAGCTTCTTGTGTCCCCACCGCAGTAGTCTAGTGGCCAAGGTGCTTGGATGCTGACCTGCAGGTCGCCGGATCATATCCCGGCTGCGGTGACTGCATTTCCAATGGAGGCGAAAATGCTGAAGGCCCGTGTGCACAGTTTAGGTGCACGTTAAAGAACACCAGGAGGTCGGAATTTCCGGAGCCCTCAACTACGTCGTCTCTTTTAATCATATGGTGGTTTTGAAACGTTAAACCCAACATATCATTCGATTAGAAGATTCTTGTGTGGCTTTTTGTCTGCAGCCACCTAAAATTAGCCGTTCATCTGGTTGAGACGCGTAATTAACTTCTGCCACGTTGACATGAGAACTTCAACTCATGTTAGCTCAATCTGGCTTGGTACAACATCAAGCCCTCGCTCCCGGAAACATGACCGCTGCGACACCCGGTGTCGCAGCGGTCATGTTTCCGGGAGCTGCTATGCCGGCGGCCGGCATAGCAGTAGGACCTGAACTTTTCGGGATTTCTCGCATCCGATCGTCGCGGACTCAACTCTGGTGGTCATCGCACGTATGCCATCACCTGCTTGTACTTCTGAACTTTCGTGTCTTTAGCTACTGTTTATTCAATCATTTGTTTCATTGTGTGTTGGTTTAGTGTCTATCTTTATATTTCTTGCTTGTAAGATCAGTTATTGTTTTTATATGGCTGCTTGTTTGTTTGTTTCAAGTATTGTATTGTTTGCGCCACATACAAATATAATAAATATGTCGTTTCATTTTCTCACACATGTCTGTTATCTTTTCACTGCTTCTGCTTGCATATGGAACAAGCCAACCTGCTGTCATTCACGCCGCCAACTTCACGTCGGCGACGCTGAGGTGGCAGCTTGGAATGGTATGATTGCATGAGTACATAAGAAAGCATGTACCCATAAAATTTTACGTACTCATGAAATGCTATGTTTCTGTCTTGGATTGGTTGGAAGACCTATGAACCAAAATGAATTATTTTTGGTGTTTTACCAGCCAAAACCATTACTATATTGCGTCGTACGCGGTAGTATGGGACGTCAAACTAATTTTGATTCTCTGGGGTGTCCAACATTTTTTAAAGTTGTAATAGAATAGCCACACTATTAGCCCATGACGCTTCACGAACCACAAGCCGCAAGTGAAGGTACAAAGATTTGTCACACGCATCAAAGGCTTCATCCCTCCTTTCGTACTAGCGAGCACGATTAAAACTACACAGGGAGGGGGATTACAAGACGATGCCTTGCTTCGTCAACACGCGTAATAACTATGAGCACTTTAGATTTCTTTCTTTGAACGCATGGCTTATTTTTAGTGTGATCACGCGTGGGGGCAAGTAACGGCATCACGTGGTGGCCGCGACAACTACGCAGCTCATAATGCGAAAATCAGCCGATGCCGTGGACGTTTGGCTATGGCGCCATAATTGAGGTGTATGGAAAAGATCTGGAAAGAAATTAGTAGAAAGAAGAGGAATCAACTTCTGACTGATAATTAACTGTACATTCTAAGCCACGTGTTGTGCAAGTGTATTTTTCTCACGTATTCTCGGGAGCATCGACAACCGATCGGCAGCGTTTCCTGACCATGCTAAAAAGGTGTTGCATGGCCTCTTTAACGTGCAACTAAATGCAAGTGAGCAAATGTTATTCCATTTTGTCGCACGTTAATTGTAGTCACTTTGACCGGGAACAAAACCTGTTCTATCAGCAGCGCTGCGCCTCAACCTGCGAAGCCCCTAGAGCATGTTATATTCATAATTTTTACACATATGTTTTTATCTCACGTTTGGTGCACTGAATTAGCAGATCTGTCAGGGATGCAGCGTGGGACAAGGCACCATCTTGTTTTCTTGAGCTCAGTTACTAACATTAGGCTTGTAATCTATGGGCAACCAAAGATCCCGGAAAGCGAATTTGCCACCTTTTAATGTCGAGCTCTGGCCGGGCACAAGGCAGACTCCATTCAACTCAATTAGAACATTGCTTACCTCTTTCCTTCAATTTAGAAATTTTTGCGGGTAATTTTTTCGAGCGCAGGGCTGACTCGACCCAGCTCGATTAGAGCATGCTCTCCTATCCCTTCAATTTTAAAATTCTTGTGGGTATTTTCTTTCCTACAAAAGAAATGCTTTCGGCCATTTCCTCGAACTAGTTATACTGGGAGGTTCAAATTCGTGGGTTCTATTTATTTTACAAGTAAGCGAAAACATTAGTGTGTGCGTACGTCTGTGCTACTGGCGTGCCAAACATCAGTAAGAATAACAGCGCAGACAACAAGTAGAAAAAGGGGTCAATCGCAGCAGCAGTGCACTAAAATTTTGGCGATGTTTATGCAGTGCGGATGTCTTCAAAATGTTTATTTTTTTAAATAACGCCGGCTCAAAAACGAGAAAAGAACCGGACAACCGTTGAACAAACAGTGAATATTTACTATTTACACATGACCGTTGGTTCAACACAAAAAATATGAGCTCTGTGTTCATAGGACAACAACCGAAGTCCAGAGGTCACCAACAATCAAGTCAAAATTTAAGTGTGATTTTGGCAGCACCACCGAATTCCAGCAAGATAAACTGGCAACTGCTGAGGCCCTAAGCGAGCCAATAAAATGCTTTGGGTTGGAAGCTCCCAGACAACAGAGATACAGCAAACCGCATGAAAATATTTCAGCTCTGATGAAAATTATGATGCTGTGGAGCGTACAAAAATTGTTCAACGAACAATTTCTTTCTAGCTTCATCGCAAGAAATAATATTGACTGTTTGTTTTCAAACACTATACATTGACGTCACTGTAATAAGAGGAGCAAGAAAAAGAGTGAGTAATACTATGGCTTTGCAGCGTTCTGTCCAAAAAACCAAAGAAAGTCATGTATAATGAGATATCCGAAAAAGCATAAAAGACTACAATCCTTGCTGTTAAAAGTAATCAAGTAGATCAAAACCTGTGTAAATATATCAATCCTGTACGTCCTAACCAACTAGTTATAACAGCCATCATCTTACGGTATCACCTTTTTAATTATTCTTACATGATCACTTTGAAGTTCATACCACAAAATTTAAAACAGATGTAGTCAATATGCACTATCACGTGACATTTCGGTTTCATCTTTACCGCAAACAATAACTGCAATCCGTCTCACATACATTTTGTTTCTTTAAATTTTTCTTCTGATACTCGCAGGTTACAAGCGTGACGTTGCGTTTTCGATGGGGGAGTACCTAGTGCAAAAAGTTTTAAAAAATCTATATGGAGGACACAGATGGAAAAACTGCGTCCATATGCTACGCGCAGACTTTTTTTATTATCTAGGAATATATTGTTATAGGGGACAAATTGCAGCTCATGATTGCGGAGTTAGACAAGGAGAGCAGAAAGGTGGTCTTAAAATTAATCTGCAGAAAACGAAAGTATTGTACAACAACCTCGGAAGAGAGCAGCGCTTCGAGATAAGTAATAGTGCACTTCAAGTTGTAAAAGACTATGTCTTCTTAAGGCTGGTAATAAACGCGGAGCCGAACCACGAGATTGAAGTAACTAGAATAATAAGAATGGGGTGGAGCACCTTTGGTAAGCACTCTCAAATTATGACAGGCAGATAGCCACTATCCCTCAAGAGGAAGGTATATAACCGCTGTATCTTGCCGGTACTTAGCTACGGAGCATAAACCTAGAGACTTACAAAGAAGGTTCAGCTTAAATTGAGGACGACACAGCAAGGAATGGAAAGAAAAATGGTAGGTGTAACCTTAAGAGACAAGAAGAGAGCAGAGTGGATTAGAGAACAAACGGGGGTTAAGGATATCATAGTTGAAATCAAGAAGAGGAAATGGACATGGGCCAGGCATGTAGCGCGTAGACAGGATAACCGATGGTCATTAAGGGTAACTAACTGGATTCCCAAAGAAGGCAAGTGGGTTAGGGGGAGACAGAAAATTAGGTGGGCGGATGAAATTGAGAAGTTTGCGGGTATAAATTGGCAGCAGCAAGCACAGGACTGGGTTAACTGGCGGAATATGGGAGAGGCCTTTGTCCTGCAGTGGACGTAGTCGGGCTGATGATGATAATGATGATGATGATGATGACGACGACGACGATGATGATGATGATGATGAAGTTAGATGACAAAATTTTGGAAGCAGGCATGTACATACCCTGCTGCATAAAGCATACCTCTCTAATGGACTACCGTTTCGCAACAAAGTTTCTGTTCGCTGAGTACGAGATTCGTTATCCGTAACGGACACAGAGAGAGAAAAAAAAAACTTTCCAACGTTTTGTACGCTCTTCCACATTATAGCAGAGAGAGAGAGAGAGAGAGAGGGAGAGAGAGAGATAGATAGAGAGAGAGAGAGGGGGGGGGTAGGTAAACTTTATGAATTTCCAGCAGATTGCAGGGCTGGGCTCCCACTAGAGGAGCTATACAGCTATAGTATACCGGGCTTGCCTGGATACCGGGCGTACAGTGATACCGGAATCGAAGTGCGCATGCGCAGATACGTACGTAACCCGTACCGCTTACCGTACGCGCGGTATTTTTTCAGATTTAAGGTTACCGTGGTAGCGTAAGTTTACGTAGTGTACGTAAACATAGCGGCACTTTCGGACGCCCGCTTCGAAGTGATTTTGGCGTAGTTGAGAAATTCACCTTGTTTGCAGCAAATGACTGTTTAAAGTTACTTCACTTGTCTTCAGTTAGCTTCGATGACTGAGTACTACGGATAAGTTGGCGTAATTTTTGAGATAGCTTCCCATATCGAACGCGTCTAAGCCTAACTACAAAATGAATGTAAACAAATCGGCAACACAATTTTTTCCGCGTTTGGTGCGTAATTCATATATATTTGCTTTTATTATTCGTAAAATAAACTTGTGACAATGTTTCGCGCGGTGCCATAGGAAAACATTCTCGTTTTTTTTCCTTTTCACTGTCTGACTAATGAACCACCGATAGATGGTGCCACCTTCCCATTTAGGGCACTTAAACCACGTAAACGCTGTCCCGCTAAACTATATGACACTGTTCATAACAAACGTTTGCTGCACGGTAACGCCGTTCCCTTAACCTCTGCTATCACGTTAACCTTAAACTCTACCTGTCTACTGTGTCTCCCGGCAGCTTCCTTGACCTGCCGGATCGCCCAGAGTTATACTTGAAATTTTTGACCATCCAATCGTTTTTTTTTCAACAGGAATAATTTATAGCAGGGACGGGAAAAATAAAGCTGATTACATCATTTTCTCTCTCAACGCGCGTGTTGTGACAGTAGTATTTTCTCCAGTGACGATTAGATAACAACGCTGCTGTTCGTCCCCCCCCCCCCCCCCGAAAACATTTTTAATCCGCCTTCTTGCAAGACTCGGTAATTTCAGTGATTCGCCACCGGGTGTTTTCGGCCTGGCTAAACCAATAAAATAATGAAATTATTATTGATGGCACCTTGATTTGCAGCCTCTCTGCCCCTCTTGAACGGTCCTCGCTGGAGAACATATCTCTAGGCTTTTGTATTCAGTTCATTGAGCTCTCTCAGAGGCATGTTTTAGTGCACCACAAGTTGGGCGTCAGCAGCATTTCAGATTTGATGAGGCAATTAATCCCTCCCTATACTGCGGACATGCAAAGCACTCGCTCACCGAGAATTCCTCCAGCACGCAGAAGTGAACATATGTCGGCGCGGCTGAAGTACTTGAGACCACGCGTGAAGGCAGTGGCGAGCCAGGGAAGCAGCCGGAAAGCTGTGTCGGGCATGTGGCTCTCGGAGAATCCCCACGGGTCCTCGAGGATCAGGTGTGCCACATGTCTAGGTGACCGCAGCGCGTACGCAGACGCTACGAATGCGCCGAAGCTGTGGCCTAGCAGCACGAACTGCTCCAGACCAACCCGGGAACGCCACCTCTCCAAAGCTGCACACCGCAAAATGAACGTAGCACGAATCAACCGCAAAAAAATGGCAAGAGACTTACTTATTCACAATATTCGCCAATGACGCTGGAACGCTGGTTCACTATACGCATATCATCAGCTCTGAACTGGACTTGAATGGCGGGAGACTTAGTTCATTTCACCAGATTCTTCACGCTTTCATTAAGATGTCAACTCATTCCAAGGATACCAGAACGTGTCTGTTGGGCTAGTTGGTTCATAATGAAGAAATATTATGGACGCACTCCACATAGACGCCATATCCTGTCCCATTTCTGTTTTTTTTTTCGTCTAAGTGGATTGGGCGTCCTTAATATTTCTTAATTTCCAGGATTTGGGGGCATGGGGACATTTGTACGTGGCACAATCTCTCGGTGGCAGAAACGGCGTTCTGACATCACTGAACGAGTCTCTTGAAATGCACTAGTTGTCAAAAAACATTCTGGGATCTATACAGCAGCGACCTACCAGAACATTTTGTGAAATTCAGTAAGCCACTACAAATCTGTGACTTTCCAGGACAACCACGCATGGGGAGTACATGGAGCCCTATTGTAAAATAATAAACAATCTAGGAAGCCATGGGTTGTTGCAACATAAATTTTAACAGAACGTTTAAGTCTGTACTGTAGAGAACAGGGAGTAGTTTTTGATAACTATATTTTTTCGAGAACTATAATTTTTTGTCTATCTCCCATGCAGTTACTGCAGGCCACCACTTTCTCCGAAGAGAAATCGCGCTACGAGCATATGTCCTCAAATCCTAGTCATGGCTTTCTGGTCAGACCATGTGTGGGCCTCGAACATCAGGAACATTCATTGTTAGAATAGCGTCGATGACCTAACCTAAACGCATTACGCATTTATACATGAGGTCCTCGTGAGGTCATTTCTGGCTGGCAAAGTGGGCGACCGCCATGTTTGTCAACATTGAGTCAGGCTAGTCAGGCTGCACTTGGAGCTTACAGCTGGGTGGGAGCTTGTTGGTATCATTCGTGCGATAAGGCGAAAGGAAACGTGCGCGTGCTTTGCCCGTCCTACTTCGAAGAGCTTGTGGGACCGACGCGTGTACGTTACTGAGCGAAAATTGAAATGTGCGATGACATATCGCCCCGTACAAACTGCGAATCAATAAAAATGCTACATCGAACATCGATCTGCTGCCCTCCAACAAACCCGGCTACATCGTCAAATGTAGTGGTGCTTTCGGCAAGTCACTTCACGCTGCTACGAATGAAGGCCTACAAGTCGCTGGACGGCCGCAACTATTCACCAGCGGATGGGTGTCCAGCACAGCAGCAAAGCAGCTTCTGTCACAGGGTGTGTCGTTATATTCGAGTATAGTTACGACGCTCTTTCCCGGTTGAAGTAAAGCATGGGCTTCGACGGGATTTTGTAGTGAGGGGTGCAAACCCGTGTTGCATCGTGGTGGGGCAAATTTTGTTTGAGAGGCACTAATGGTCATTTTACACCCTCCTGCATACGCCATTGTTCAGACGTCACCGCAGTTGTGCTCGTTTCAGTAGTGTTGCGATTTTTGGTTTATTTTCCTCTCGTGAGCTACAGTTTCGTGAGATCTACTGTTGATGGTTCGTCACGCTCTGGTTCTGCGTCTATGGCCGGAAGTTCGACCGATGTTCCCGATTCCGTGGATGGCGTAATCACTGCGACTGCATCCATCGTGTTCTTCTGTCGCCTTTTAAAGCGGTGAAAATGCGCTGATGCTGCTGCAACAGTCGGGTCATAACGGCCGTAGCCCAGCCACTAATAGACCCGGTGCTCAGTCACGGTTCGCGTCATTCATTAAATTTGCAGGTTAAAAGAAGACACGTTCACGTATGTTGCACTGTTAACCTCTTTTAACAACATGAGATGCGGCTATTTAAGAGGAAAAGGTTCGGCTGTACATAGCTGTGAATCTAGGTGGGGTTCTGGAGAAAGTGACACGTGACGTCGGTAAACGTGGCGAACTTGCATGGACATAACTCAAAAATACCACTCCCTGTGATGAAGTGATGACTGCAGTCACAAACTGGGGTTCCACGTCCCAAAACTACTGAATATGAGGGACGCCGTAGTAGATGGCTCCAGAAATTTGGATCATCTGGGTTTTTTTTACGTGCGTTTGAATCCATGCATATGAGTCTCAAGCATTTTCGCCTCCACCGAAAATGCGGCCGCCGTGGCCAGGATTTCATTCCGTGGCGGGTCAGCAGCCGAATGCCTTAGCCACTAGACCAACGTGGTGGGTATTATTCTGCATCCAAAAACGGCACAAATATCCATGGTCAAGCGGAAAACGCGACGCAAACGAAGACCACATTTCGCCGCTGCAAAGCTCCCGCTACCAGGAAGCTGCTTATGTTGACAAACAAGATGGTTCTCGGTCCTCTCGTTTCCAGATGTGACGTACGTGCAACCCATGCATTGAAAAATTGGCACGTTGTTGCGCATGATTCATGCGTCAAGCCTGTTTCACATGCGAGCGATTTCGCCCCAAGAGCGGAGCGGCAGCCATCGCACGAGCCCAAAACCAGTTTCTAGAGCATCTGGTAGTCGTTGGGACCGACGTCGCTTGAGCAACGAAAAATCGCTCGCGATAGAGTGTCTGCCCTAGTCGACCAATAGCGCAGCAGTGAAGTGAGGAGCACGTGACTGCAGGGGTAGAGTCGAGGAACAGGGGCCTTATACATCACAGCGGCGGGCATCGCGCAAAAGCAGCGCGTGTGAAACGAAGTCGCGTCCGGGCTTCCAGATGCCGCTTAATTGCCGCAGGCCCCGCGGCTTAATCACTCGCATGTGAAACGGGCTTTACTTTATTGGTGAAGTAGTGCTTATAATGCCACGCTTACACGAAACATTATTCCTGAAGCGTAACCGACATACTGGCATTATGGTATTGCCACTCCCGTCTTAGACCTCCGCGGATCTGGAAGCATTTCAGCTGTGCGAGTTGCATGATGCGTACTACATTATTGTTAGGACACCATGACAGAGGTAAATAAACTGGAATAGCTGTGAGCTGACCTCAAGGGTACAGTCGGTAAACTAGCACAGCTTAAACAACCTCCTACTGCCTTCAAACTGCAAACTGCCACCAGCCTTTTTTTATGGCAATGTTACCATAGATTAGCCTATTAGGCCGTTATTCTGACTGTGGATAACTTCAGAAGATAACACGCCTACGCCGACTGTATAGAGTAGGCATATTGAAGAATACTGCGTTTTTCGTAGGCCATGACACAGCGCTCTTTGTTTCTATTGCACACTAAATAATGTTGCGATGTGCGAATATGTGTCTTTTTGTAGCTAGTGAGTAAAATATTGATCTACTTTTGAAGTCCTGACAGACAGTACATCGCAAGCATGTGCAATGTATGATTTGTTTCCCAAAATATTGGTATCCACAACTTGAGACAGGGGTGTAGTCAGACAATTTTTTCGGGAGAAGCAATGTGCCACCAGAGCATTGCTTCTCCAAGCCTGCTATAGGCTGTTGATGTGTTAGATTTGCTAGACCTGATAGTCAGGCATACTTCTTCCAGTGATTCCTCTTCCTAGTATACGATAAAGTAAAAGCCATAAGAAATTTTATTCAACTAGCTGATGCTGATTTGTCGAATACCAGAGGGAAAACGAAAGGAGCACGAAAACGAATGGGTAGACAAACCAGGAAGACCCTAGCTCTCTAGTTCGGCCATTGTTAAAAGCTTGTAGTAGCGCTGTGCTACAATGAGTGATAAGTATATATATATATATATATATATATATATATATATATATATATATATATATATATATATATATATATATATATATACTTTCATTCCGCTCAACAACTACCAAAGGCGACCCTGTGCCTACTGTGCTGGGTCTGACTAACTGCAATGATTTTTCAACTCTGTTCGAGAAATCTTTTTGTTTTATCTTGTTATCTCTGAAACAGAGAAATAGCGTAAAAAATACAAGTTGGAAGTTCAGGCACATATCGGTGTGAACGAAATTATTTCATACATACAGTGATGGAAAAAACATGGATTCTTCAAGGAAATCGCAAAATATTCCAAACGACTCCCGTAGTTTATTGTGTCGTTTGAGCGTCGTATAATAATATTAAGTACTAAACATGTTGCACACAATAATCACTGCAAACTGCAAGAGCATAACTAGGCAAATGAATAGTCTTCGAACTCCACGTAAGTGTTATTTCATATTGTGCATAATTAGATAGAACTGAACTTTTCAGAAATCGAATAAGCTAAATGACCTATTATCTAAAATGTTCATTCTTGTGACATGAACCAGGTCAAATGTGATATTGCTAAATGTAATCAGTAACATACCACCGCAGGCACGAAGTGCGTAGAATGACTATGAAGTCTAGCACGCATTTCACCAAAATCGTCTGCTTGTAAAGTACAAATATAAACTATATCAGACATTTTAGAGAATGCATTGCATATAGGTAGCATTGTCAATATTCCGGTATCTACAAGCTGTACACTTGATAACACCGCTATCTAGTGTGCAGCTTTTATAGTAGCAGCTTCTTTTTCTTTTATTTTGGGCTCGCTGGAAGGTGACATGGTTTAACTGCTTTGTTTTTAGTTTCGCCAATGCCATTTTGGAGCAAGTACGCAGCAATTTCTAACAAATATTGCAATTTGGAGCAGCATGGAGCAGAATTACTCTTTTGGAGCAGTTTGTAGCTATTAGAGAACCATTTCCATCACTCGTGCCTCACTGTGATATGCCCCGACACGAAAAAAAAGTTATCAATGTCTACACAAACATTTCGGCCGCTCAGGAAATGGTCACTCACCAAACAGCGCTGGCTTAGTTTGCACGCATCACTCATCAAAAACATAGGAATAGGTTGACGCCGATCGTTTTGCTCTCATTCAGTCGCATTTTTTGTCTTGCTTTCTCAAACTCGTATTTTTATTGGTCGTGTCGAAAACACTTGAAGCCACCATGAAGCGACTCGCTAGCTGACTTCTTTAGAAACTGCCAGTGCTTGCATGTAATACGTCTTACATCTTTTGATGGGGATCGTGCATGATTCGGAGGATTGTATTTCACTATCTCGATTTGTTTCATTTACGCAAGCCACAAAGGGAAGCAGACCACTGTTGAGAAATTTGATTGCGACTAGCTGCTGATATTGATCGACTGCTTATCTCGATTGATTGAGCTTGATCGCGATCAGCAATGTACGCACAGGTATAACCTATCCTCACACACTGCGCCTAGACACAGCTGAATACGCAGCGCCTACGAACAATAAAAATGAAGTGCGAAATGTGGGATACATTTTTTGAGCTTCCGTAAATCTTCCGGGGCGCGGGACAGTCACGACAGTTGCAGCATGAGTAGTTACCCTAGTTGCAGGGGCCTTGTGTCAGCCTTCAATTCGGGTGGTACCGAATTCGATTCTCAGGGCCACCAGGCAGCCACCTTACCCACCCCAGCCTCTGCTCGAAGGTGGGGATGAGCTGGGTTTCGGAAATAGACGAAAAATGTTACCATCTCCTGTAAAAGCAGAATTTGGCGCCAACGGGGAAAAAGAGACGGGTCTCCCTCACCCCTAAACGCTAGTGTGTGCGGTCTTATGGATTCCAAAAGTTTGACTTCCCGAGGCTCAAAGTGCTCAAAACACTATTTAGCGAGACGTTTTCCGAGAGGGGTCAAAAGACGATCCTGCACATTGGCATGAACTGTACAGCTTACGGTGGCATCGGACGCCTGCGCTAAAGCAAACCATTTCTCGAGAACTGGTATGAGCCTCCCCATAAACACTCAGATCCGCGTACGCGGGCGTCCATACTATAGAGCAATGTAAAAGTGCGGTTGCCTCACACCTAGTGCGAGCTGGGCCTCCGTAGCTTCGGCATCGCTGGATAAGGTGGGCCTTGAACTCTTGCCAAAGCCAAGCAAGTCGATGGCGTAGACACGCCGGCGATGGGATAGCGCCTCCAAGTTCAGCACCCAGAGGGCCGCACCACACAGGTAGCCGTGCACGAGAACCAAAGGTACTGCCATTTCATCTTCTTCGTCTGGCTCGACCTGGACCGTCCAGATACAGCTGTTTTGCGGCGGGATGTCACTGATGCGCCCCACATCCACGTAGTATCCGTTGTAGCGCTTCCGCATAGCTGCGGCAAAAGCGCCACGTGTTAGCAGGACCCGCCAACACACAGCAACCTCACACTCAAGCACTTATGTGACAGTTGACGAAATTGCTAAAATTGTGCCTACATTGGCAGATCACAACCCTTGGAAAAAATTAAATGAACTACCCTCACAGTAAGCACAGACGTTAGCCCCATCTAGCCAGCGCTGACTTCACTGACTAATTTCTTGAGTATCAATCATTTCGCCGGAAGACATGATGATAAAAAAAGTAAAGGTTCAAGATTACAAATAGGCAGTTGTACAATAATGCGGTGGGTGGAGGTCAGAAGAATGTCATAGCGTATAGGGTAAGTGTGTGCGTGGATGCTTATATAAACAAAAAAGGGGGGGGGGTGATCATAATTGGTAGGTACCTCCTAAGACATAACTAAATTAAGCTGGATAAAATCATAAGGCAGCTGCAGTAGTCATTACTTGGGCGTGAATTCCATATACGTAATCAATAATTGAAATTTTAACATTTTATCATCGTTACTTCTCTAAAAATACATATTGCAGTTCAGGAACTGCTGCCACGTATTTTACTATATAGGCATAGACACTACACACTCTTAAAAAAAAGTTAGTAAAAAGGCAGCAGCTGCAAGCAAGTAGGTAGTAACTGCAGCGGTTGCTACCTTTCTTTGACTGTTACTACCCTTTTGCTACCTGTTTACTACCTACGTTAGTAAACAGTTACTAGTTACAACAATTACTAACTTTTTCGACCTCTTTACTACCTACGTTAATAAACAGTTAGTAACTGAAACGAAAAAGGTAGTAACTGCAGCCGTTACAACCTTTCTTGCCCCGTTAGTACTTCTTTCCTACCCGGCTTTTGACTATCTAATTCAAAATAGTGTGTGAATGCTATTCTGATTATTTATGAGAGGAATTGTCTCGACATACTATTATTAAACTGAAAAATGACGCAGAAGGTATTTATAAATCTGGGCAAATACATTTTGTTTCAAATTATGCAACCGAGATATGTAAACGTCATTCTGATATTATCGAAGCGAAGAAGTACAAGTTCACGAACCATAAGCAAGTGCTACACGTGTCGTAATAGACAATTACAAAAAATTCAGTAAATACAGCACATATTAACAACACCAGCAGATCAAAATAAACAGATGGTCACATATAGCTTCGAGGACAGTCACAGTTAATTCACTGCGGCGTGTCTCCAAATATTATCATTGCTTTGGTGCGTCAAACCCCCAAAGCGATTATTACCTTTTAAACGCTGATATACTAGTCCTGCGAAGCATTCAAATGCACTAAGAATAAATTGGGTAGTTTGTTCCGGCCACTGTACATAACGCCTTTTTGTGGCCATTTTATAATGAATAAATATAACATAATTTTCTCTAAGTAAGTCTTATTAAAAGTCTTGTGCTACGTCACCAAACAAACGTAACCAGATAGTATATTATAGTGCTTGCAACGAGCAAGGTTGCTTAAAAACACAGGTCATTATTCGAGAAACGTTAGCCGCAACAAGCTGGTACAGGTAGGAACCCGGCAAGCACGAGCCACACATGGACGTCAACGTCTTCTTTCACGCTGGCACAGAGCTGGCGCCACTATGCTTCGGTACAATTACTCCCCGCGCAGAAAGGAGCCAACCTTGTGACCTAGGGAAAGGACACGACAAGGGGGTCATAGCACGGTTTGAGGCGTGATACGTGTACTGTTTCACGCCCACGGCAGCGTTGGTTCGAAGGTGGATCAATGGGCTCAACTTCATAGTTGACAGGAGATGTTTGCCGCACCACACGGTAGGGGCTATGGTATTTCGACGAAAGCTTCGGGGAAACACCGGGAGGGGTAGACGGGACCCAGAGCCAAACCAGCATTCCTGGGTTATAGTGTACAGTAGACGCAGAGGAATCGTGGTCAGTTTTCTGGCGCCATTGGTCTTGTGCGGTAAATGAGCGAGCGAGTTGACGACACTTTTCGGCATAAGCAGCTGCTTCGGAAACAGGCGTCGCTTCGGAAACATCAGGCCTGTAAGGGAGAATGGTGTCCATGGAGCATGATGGCTCACGTCCATACAGGAGGAAGAAAGGAGAAAAGCCAGTGGTTGTTTGCGGCGCAGAGTTGTACGCGTACGTGACAAAAGGGAGCACTTGGTCCCAATTAGTGTGGTCGTCAGAGGCGTACATGGCAAGCATATCTCCAAGGGTACGGTTAAAGCGTTCCGTCATGCCATTGGTTTGAGGATGGTATGCCGAGGATTTCTGATGGACAATGCGACATGCCTTGAGCAGCTCGTCGACGGCGTTCGAGAGAAACACGCGTCCACGGTCACTCGGTAATTCACGAGGTGCACCATGTCGCAAAATGAGATGGTGAAAAAGAAAGGACGCAACGTCTTTCGCAGTGGTAGCAGGCAGCGCAGATGTTCCAGCGTAGCGTGTCAAATGATCGACTGCGACGATAATCCACCGGTTGCCTCGAAGAGAGTTGGGTAGAGGACCATAAATGTCAATTCCGACGCGGTCGAATGGTTTCGCTGGGCAGGTTAAGGGTTGCAAAGGGCCAGCAGTGCTGTGAGAAGGCGTCTTGCGTCGTTGACACGTGGTGCATGACCGAACGTACTGGCGAACGTGCCGATACATGCTGCGCCAGTAGTATCTTAGACGAAGGCGAGAGTAAGTCTTAAATACTCCAGCGTGGCCACACTGGGGGTCATCGTGAAAAGCAGCGCAGATGTCAGAACGCAAATGACGAGGAATGACAAGGAGCCACCTACGGCCGTCCGTCACGTAATTGCGGCGATAGAACAAGCCTTCAGGGACAGCAAAGTGTCTTGCTTGACAAGAGAGGGAGCGTGAAGTCGTTTCTGACGAACTGTGAGAGAGGACGTCGAGCAAAGAATTGATCCAAGGATCCTTGTGCTGTTCGGATGGCATGTCAGTGATGCTCAACGATGACGAATCGCAAATGGCAGTTGATAAGCAGGCAAGGTCAGGAGGCAGTGGAGAACTGGATAGTGCATAGGCGTCTGAATGTCTGCGTCCTGAGCGATAAACAACACGGATATCGTATTCCTGAAGGCGTAAAGCCCAACGAGCGAGGCGGTCAGTAGGATCTTTTATGGACGCTAACCAGCATAAGGCATGGTGATCTGTGACAACATCAAACTGGCGTCCGTAAAGGTAAGTGCGAAATTTTTCTATAGCCCAAATGATAGCCATGCACTCCTTTTCCGTGACGGAATAGTTGGACACTGCCTTCGTTAGGGTACGGCTGGCATAGGCGACAACGTACTCGTCGCAGCCATCCTTGCGTTGAGCGAGAATGGCACCGAGGCCGACACCGCTTGCATCCGTGTGAATTTCAGTGGGTGCATTGGGATCGAAGTGGCGGAGAACTGGCGGAGACGTGAGTAGCCGGCGCAACGCCGTGAATGCGTCATCGCAGTGGGAATTCCAGCCAGAGAGGTCTGTACTACGGGAGAGAAGCTGAGTCAGAGGGGCAATTATAGAGGCAAAATTGCGAATGAAATGCCGAAAATAGGAATACAAGCCTACGAAACTACGAAGCTCCTTTAGAATAGTAGGCTTGGGGTACTCGGCAACGGCACGCAATTTGGCAGGGTCTGGCGATATTCCTTCTTTTGAAACGACGTGGCGGAGAATTGTGAGTTTGCGGGCGCCAAAACGACATTTCTTGAAGTTTAGTTGCAACCCGGCTGCCGTAAGGCACTGGAGAACTTGTTCCAGACGGGAAAGATGAGTTTCGAAATTCGCCGAGAATAAAACTATGTCGTCTAAATAGCAAAGACAGATGTGCCATTTAAGTCCCCTGAGAACACTGTTCATCATTCTTTCAAAAGTCGCAGGCGCATTGCAAAGACCAAAGGGCATTACATTAAATTCATATAAGCCGTCAGGGGTCACAAACGCCGTTTTTGGACGGTCTGGTTCAGCCATTGGCACTTGCTAATATCCAGAGCGCAGATCCAGTGAAGAGAAAAACTCCGCACCTTGAAGGCAATCCAAGGCGTCATCAATGCGTGGCAAGGGATAAACATCCTTGCGTGTGATGTTGTTTAGTCGACGATAATCCACGCAAAACCTGATGGAGCCATCCTTTTTTCGCACGAGGACCACTGGCGAAGCCCAAGGACTGTGCGAGTGCTGAATAACACCACGTCGCAGCATCTCGTCAACGTGTTGAGTGATGACGTCACGCTCAGCCTGCGAGACGCGGTAGGGGCGCTGACGAAGTGGAGTATGATGACCGGTGTCGATATGGTGAGCGACAACTGAAGTGCGTCCCAAGGGAGGTTGTCCGTGGTCGAAGGAGGCGCGGAAATGGTCAAGCAGTTGAATGAGCTGATTGCGCTGGTCTTGCGTATGGCCGGTGTCTACGCTGCGCAACAGAACGTCTTCGTCAGGTAGTGAGGGCACGGTGGCAGCTGTGACAGCAACCACGGACAACGGTGTCGTATCAGAACGGGCATCGAAAGGAAAGATGTCATCATAAGTGTCAAGACTCCCAATACATTCGCCATGCAATAAGGTACCGGGACAAGGGAACGTATTGCACACGTACACGGCACTGGAGCCATCGGCAAGTGTTATGACGGCAAACGGGACGACAAGGCTCCGGCGACGAGCGCATTCTTGTGACGGCATGAAGAGGGCGGTTGAATCGGAAACGGAGTTGCACAAAAGAGATACCGCGGCGACCGAAAAAGCAGAAATGACGACGTCAGCGGCGACGATCACCTTTTTGGGTGAGCGAGGGAGATCTATGAATGTCGTGCTGAATGGAAACAAAACGAGTTGAGCACGAGCGCCGTCGACAACCGCATGGTTAGTAGAAAGAAAGTTTCATCCCAGGATGATTTCATGAGACGCATGCGGAAGGACGACAAATTCAACGATGTAAAGCACTCCTTGAATCACAACACGAGCAGTGCATGTGGCAGAAGGTTGGACGTGTTGCGAACTCGCTGTGCGTA